GAAGGAAGGAAGGAAGGAAGGAAGGAAGGAAGGAAGGAAGGAAGGAAGGAAGGAAGGAAGGAAAGAAGAAAAGATAAAAGATTGCACTTTTTTATATAGCATGTCCTTGCTGTTGTCTGACTCTCTAGGATTATGCTACAGCGCTCTTGCACTACCTAGGCAGCGTGCACCTCTTTCTCTCTATGGGATATTCTAGCCCTTTCCTTAATTTAGTATGTCTGGCTCTCATTTCATTTCTGGTGTTTCCTAATCTGAATTTGTATTTAGCCTTCGTCTATATCACAACTCATATGAGGCCCAATTTGAAATGGTTTTTCTGACTTCTAAATATTATGCTGCCCTCTCTCCATTTTTATTATCTAGGAAAGCATTTCTCACTCCATGCTGTTTATGTTTATTGGCGTCATCACTGTAACATGGCCTCTTTGGAGCTGAATACTATATCAATTGATGTGATTCGTGGACATTCCTGGGGCCAAGATATGAGGAAAGGGCTGGCCATTGAAAGGTGGCCAATATGAACCTTGTGAGGGTTCTTGCTTATCTCTAATGCTTAGAAGTATTCTACTAGAACGAGGGCCCAGCATTGGAAAGAACATACATTCTCCATAACATGGCCTAGGAATGTACTAGTTCCCTTCTGAGGTCCCATGTGTGGAACCATTTCTCCACCTGTTAGAGGCTGTTCATCACCCAGTGCAGGGAGGATGTAATACCAATGTCATGGACCTGCCATGTTTGTAAGCTGAAAAGATAAATATTTCCAAACTACTTTTATGTGCTACTTTGTAAGACCCTTGTATATGCCATACACACTGCTTTTAGCTAAAGAGTATTTGCTCAGTCTCACCTCTCACATTCTCCCCTCCCTCGCAGAGTTCCCTTGAAGGTGGCCATCTTTTAGCTTTTCCTTAAGAGCCTCTTCTTCTAACCTTCAGTCTTTGGTTTCATCTGAACTTTTCTGAAGCTACACCAATTCTACTACTATTCTCCTAAGACCTCTCATCCTCACCCCACATTTCTGTTCGTAGGGCTTGGTGTTATCCCCTTTGCCATATACATACACCATTAGATATTTTAGGTCTATATGTCTGGATTGCAGCCTCAAAAAGAACACTTTTACCTCTACTCCCAACTGCTCAATTTCCAATATCAACTATTCAAGATCACGCCATTTCTCTTGAAGGTTCCCTGTTCATTTATTCTTATCTTCATCCTGAAAGTATCAAATCCTGAAGTTAGAATATGACCTTCTAACATTATTCTCAATGATGGAGACAGCTCTCAGTGCAGAGGATCTCTGTTAGAATACAGACATGACGGTTTCTCCAATATACAAACATTTTAATATGCCATAATAAAGAATTATGGAAGACCTAAATAATGAAATTGATAAATAGGTATTTGTACCACATAGGAGCGAGTGAGACTTTAGTAAGTTCTCGGAAGTTTCTAGCTGCTGTTAGGAACCATTGTAGCTGCATTGGATAAAACGAAATATCAGCATCAAACAAACAAACAAAAAACCATAGAAACCTCAAGGCTATCATTCCTAGCCTTTATTAGTGTTGGTAGAATCTGTTGGGTGCACCATTCAAGTAATTTGACTTACAGCCTTCACTACAAATTTTCAGATTTATTTTATGTTTTATGTCATGGATATTTGCAACTAAAACAGTCCCTATATGAATAGACAGACATAATAAATGGCTTTTTTCCAAGTCATGATTACATGTGTCTCCTCTTCCTCAAGTTCTTTTGGATGCATATATTTTTTTAAAAAAAATCCCATATTGATTGAATGATTTGCTTTACTTTGCTGATTTTACTCAGCTTATTTTAAAAATAAATTCCAAAAGCTCCTTCCCACTTTTTAAAAGTGAATATGTGAATATGAACAAGCTACTTACACTTTCAGTGCCAGCTACTTATATTTATAACCTTGAGGTTACCTTTGATCCTAAATCAGCTTTTAATTACCATGGTAGTTACATTGGGTGAAAAAATGATTCTATTATTTCCAGAACACAGCAAGGATGTGACCAGTCCTATCTCATGAGTACAGTTATTTTAAGGCTTTTATTACTAATTACAGTTGGTTTATTATAATTCATTGTTCACTGGCCTTCTAGGCTATTTACTTAAGGTTCTATTCAGCATTGCAGCTGCTTCTGCAGCTGGTATTCCTGTGAGATCCCATGCCTTCATGAGAGTAACAGGGATTCTATTTGGAAGAGGGTATAATTGGGCTCAAGGCAGGCACTTAACTTCATGTCCCCTGGAAGGTGGCATGAGTGTACGTTATTCCCCAGATCTAAAAGGTTAAGGATGTAAGTACAAAGGTAGGTGAACACTTTGAGCAATATAAAAGGACAATGACGCCATTTGCGTGTCTTTCTCCTCTCCGAACAGTCTCTCCATACTCACTTTCCTCTTTGTATTCGATTCCTATTTTATAAATACGATTTCCTGATTGCTCAGTTCAAAGTCAAATTTCATTTTCTATATAGCAAGTGAGGAAAAATGTGTTTTAGAAGGTTTTATTGCATTTATTTATTTCATAAACATTAGTGATCATCTACCATTTGCCTTGAACAAATTTTGCTGTGTGATCAATTCTCCAGGGATACAGAAAAAAAAGCATTCGATCTCTTTTGGTAAGGTCAAGGAGATTCAAGACGCTTTAAGATGTACCTGAAGGAAATTTTGTCAAAAGATTCTGATGGATGAGTAACTGACTTTCTGATGCTCTCAGTTTACAGAATAATCCAAGAAGTATGAAATGCAGAGATTGAGATGGCGTGAGAGGGGCTGTGGCATAGCAAGGACCAAAGATAGACCACTAAATGCCTTACAATCCTAGAACTATCGTATGTGCGGTCTACTTTATGTAATTCAACTGCTGTGACAAAATACTAATATCAAGAAAACTTATGAAAGAAAGTGTATCATTTGCAGCCCACTGTTCCAGAAAGTTCTATGACTATCATGGTGGGGAGCATGGCAGCAGACAGGTAGATGCTGTGCTGAAGTGTAGCTGCGATCTTCCATCATGATCTATAAGGACAAAGTAGAAATACCCACACACTGAGAATAGAGTGTTGTGGGCTTTCATCACCAGGGACATACCTTCTCCAACCAGACCATGCCTCCTAATTCTTCCCAAACAGCACTATCAGCTGGGACTAAGTATTACAACATATGAGCCGATAGGGGCCATTCTCACTCAAACCACTCAGGAAGACTATTTATCCTGCTGTCAACGCTCCTTTCTCACTTAGAGTCTGTGTGGGGGGGCAGTGTTGAGGCCTAAACCATCTAGAAAGACTTAGGGAAGGATATTGAAAATAGTTGTGTTCAACATCTGTCTGTCCCTGATTGAATTTTTTAAATGCTAGGTAACTGACTTTTAGACTATCCATTTTGTATTGGGCGAGATCCTGAGCAAACTGCCCTCTCAAGCACGTATTCAGGTGACCAGATCATTATATCCAACTGTTTATCCTGGGATGCATTAAACTAAATTACAAGCGATGTTAAACGACAGCTAACATCTCACTCCCTGTCTGAATACCTACTGAACTACGGTCAGTAGTGATGCTTCAGGGAATCCAGCTGGTAATCTGCCAAGTTAGTATAGGGACAGAGATCTTGGAAAACACAATAAAACAAAATATACTCACTGAGATCAAGTCAGGGGTATGGAATGTGTCTGTTCACTGAATCAATTGAATCGCTATATTAAACGAACCCTCACGATTCTGCCCCCACCCTTGCTTCTAGACGTGAAAAGGGGATAGGAGATCCAGAACAAAACAATCACATTGGCAAACATAGCATGTCTGCCTTATACCAGTACCCCTCACTTCAGGATCTTAAGTTTGAGGTTTACTTCATGACAAAGAGACAAAGAACAGTGAATATTTCACAAGAGTTACACTGGTCTGAAATGAATTTGTTCTCCTGCTTGTGAGTTTGGATTATTTTATTAAGATATTGCTAGACTTTTCTGGGGACATGGGAGAGGACAGAGAGAGAAAAAAGAGATTCTAAGCCCAAATTGATTAACCAATAAATGTGCTGGGCTTACTTACAGATGCCAGGGTAATTCACAGCCAGTTTCGGCCCCCAGGAAATCCTGTCTGGTCAGTTGGTGCCAGGAACTTAGGAGTAATGATATCAGGAACTTTTTATGAGAAGTATCTTGAATACTATGAATGCCATGACTCTCTCCCTTTCCATTACAGAGGATGTTAATAAACCAGATAATTAAAGGGTTTTATCATGGCTGAAAGAATACTCCATGAAGAAAACGACTTGCAAAGTGAAATTTACCAATTTTAGATGTGCAGTTAGTTCAGTAGCAACAAGTACTCACGTCATCGTATATTACCAACCTCTCACTTCAGGTCTTTATTCTTATGATCCACAGCTGCAGCTTCCATCAAAAACTAATAAACAGCCAGTTAGTTGGTGGACTCCCTTCTACCAACCTCTATGATAGTGTCTATTTACTTAATGTATGTGGAGTTGTACAACATTGTTTATTCCGTGAAGGATTTATTTTACATGGAGCAAAAGGTTTTTAAGGTTAAGCAATATCATAGCTTGTCGGAATTCCCTTATTCGTGAGGAGTTAATAGCGTTCTATAGTATATTGTACATCTATATCCATCTATGCCATGTTTTTATTTTCCACCCATCTGTTGATAGAGAGGTGCTTGGACAGAGAATCTCTGTGTTGTTGTTGTGGATACTGGTGTTATAGAGAGTATATAATTTGTTTACGTCTCTGCTTTTAATAATGCTTTTGAGTACATATTCAAAAGTATAAATTCTGCAACATGTAATAGTTTATGTTTAATGATTTAAAAAACTGTGATACCATTTGTACACTAAATTTCTATAGCAATTCTGATTTCACCAGCAATGCCCAAAGCTTCCTTCTTCCCCACATCCCATCCGTGTCAATACTTACTTCTCCCCATCCTATTCCTCCTTTTCTTTTATTTCTCTCTTCTTTTCTTTTTAAAAATCTCTATTTCCTTCATGACTGCCTGCCATAGTGAGTATTGCTATTTCATTATAATTTTGTTTTTCTTTACCCCGATGATTAGAGACATTGAGTACATTTTCATACTTATTGTCCATTCATCAATCTTCTCTTGGGAAATGTCAATTCCAGGTCCTTACTCTAGCATTAATACATATATTTTACTTTGTTGTGTTGTATTGTCAGTGCTGTTACATTGTAGAAGCCCATAGGATAATCAATAATTTTCTTGTCATATATGTGATTATTCAACATTTTATTTTGGGAAAGGCCTTTTGACTCTGTTGCTTCTTTCCTTTTCTTATGAGAATTGTATGTGTTATATGTTTTGGAGAAGGGATTATTTATCGTCAAATCTAGTTTATATATTGTTTTTGTTGCTGTGCCTTCGGTATTATACTTAAGGAATCATTTTCAAATCAAGTGTCACGAATCTTTCCCATCATATCCTTTTCTAGGAGTTGCTAGTTTAACACAACTATTTGAAAATTTGAGCCACGTCAATTTTTTAATATAGCATAAAGTAAGAATATAAGTTCATTTCTTTCTCATAGCTATTAAATTTTCAACCATTAGTCTAATGGTCTAGTCCATTCCTTATTGAATGGGCTTGGTAATATTGTTGAAAAATCATTTGAATGTGTGTATGAAAGTTAAATATCTTGGCTCCCTTTTCTACTTTATGTGTATATATGCTGCTTTTATGTCAGTTCCATTATGTTTTTGTTAGCTCACTGTTGTGTATATACCGCTTTTATATTTGTACCATTATGTGGTTTTTGTTATTGTTGTTAGTTCACTGTTTTGAAACCATGAAGAAAACGGGTACAGAATTTCACCGTATCTATTATGGAACAGAATAATGGTCATGAGACATTGAGTAGTAAGGTCAGTGGCAGGGGATATTTTCAATAGTTAATGTTTTTAGATAAAATATACCTAATGACCTAAGAAGATAGGATCGTGTACTGATCATGCTTCCTATACTGGTTGTGAGAACCAAACACAAACCTCGCTGACCTTCAGCACTGGGCACATGGTTTACGAACAGCTCCACGGGTTAGCAGGAAATGGCAGGGGCTGAGTTCCTACTCACTTTTAGTCCATTTGTTTCTACTCATCCTCTTCACTTTTTCTAAACAAGAATATCATCTTTAACCTTCTGGTTTCAGGGAGCGAGTGGCACGTGATTCGGAGTCACCAGAACTCACTCCCACTGCCAGACCCTGACAGCCTGCAGAGGTGTTTAAAGTTGTGGCCTAGAGTTGTCCGGCTGTCGTTTCTAACTCTCGCTTTTGATTAATGGAAGCCTTATGGCCAGGCCAATACCTGTGGGGAAAATGTATTCTGTCATTTTAACTGAAAGAGTGGAAAGTCACATGGTACAGGAAGTAGATGAAAGTCACCTACACCATGGCACATTGCAGCTTTAAAGTCAAAGTTATTTTCTCATCTTATTCTTTTTACTTCACTTACATTGTTTACCTTACAAGAGAATGAAAACTAAACTCTAATATGTTTCATGTACGATAAAGTGAAGTTTGTTTTTTCTTTTTAGAGATGTGATATTCTCTGTTTCTTGATAAATTATTAGATGTGTTTTAATTAATGTCCAGGTGTTACTGCTTCCCAAGAAACACATATCAGGTATCGTGGCTTACTGGGAGCCACCTATGATTCTATAACATGCCTTATCACAAAAGAATGCTACCGACGATGAAGAGATTTTATAAGGTATGCACCACAAGCCTACATTGGCACAAACATATAACAATTTGAAGTAGATAAAAGTCTTCTTTACAAGGGAGAGAAATAAAGTCTCTGGACGAAGTCACAAAGCTTGTGTTCATGGCTCTGAACAGCAGATGCAAGAGTGAAGAGTAACTTGCTCATGACACAGAGGAATGAGGCAAGATTCCTGTCAATTTTTTCTAAACAAATTTTGGAAAGGAGGACAAACCATTTACTAAAAGACCACACTATTAAAGAGGGCTGTATAAGCAGTTATAAGCAAAGTGAAATAGATAATTGAAATAATTCGATGTGTTCCTTAATATTGGAAGTACACAAAGTATCTCTTCACATCCAAGTGAAATCGGTTTTGATTGTCTGAGAGAGCTACCAAGCTAGGAAGTACTTCCAAGACTCCACACTCTAATATTTTCCCTTTAATTATATTTTGGTTTTGCTTATTTTCTTGATGTCTTTTTTTCTCCAAAGCTTTGAGTGCTTACTTAGTATATCTGGAATTAATGAGCACATGCAATTAATTGTAATTAAGTAATTAAAATTAAGTAATTAAAAATTTCCTTATTAAAATATAAAAAAATTCTTATGAACTAAATTTCTCATATTTTTTTCATTAAGATATATATAATTACCTTGTCTTCTGTTATAATGTAACTTAAAGATGTTTTTAAAATGTAAAGAGGGTTCTTTGTCCATTTTGGGCATATCTTATAGTTATTTGAATTCAGAATAAGATACAAGAGTTTTAACATTTGTTATGAAAATAATGTGATGAAATGGAAGATCATCATCTGAATGATTAATTTCATATGGCCAGAACATGGTGCAAATGCAAATGATATTAAAGCTTTCATTTTTTCATAGTCAATATTTGCATTTCCTAATAGTGAAAATCTGCTAAAAAAAAAAATCACATGAATTAAGATCCAGGGCCATGAGCAACTGAGAATTTTAAAAGAGAATTCCAGGCTTAGATACATATGTGCTGGTCAAGGCCAGATTCATGGACATTGGGATATGGAAGTTTTCATTCCGCTGTCCACATTTTTTTTAAACAAGTTTGAGTGTTAGCAATCATTACCCAACGAACCAATAAGACCTAGATCTGTGTATTATTTAGAATAGTCTCTGGTCTGCAGAAGAGGAACACCTGCCTTCAGTAGGTTTTAGCATGGTACTTATTTTGTTTCGGTTTGTTTTGGTTTGGTTTTTTGGTGTGAATTACCTTTATAGCAATGCTTCCTGAATTGGTAACCCTCTACCTTATCTAAAGACACATAGATCTGCTTTAACAAATTAATCATATTAACAAATTAATCTTTGTGCACATTAAATCATCAACAATAGCCTATCCAAAAAAAAAAAGCAACACATCATTACTGTGGTTTCTAGAACTGATTATGATTATAAAAGTTCTTATGAAGCCGGAGAGACGGCTCCGCCCGAGGACCCGAGCTCAATTCCCGGACCAGCGCAAGTAGTTCCGTACCGTGTGTCAGCGGCCCCTGCTGGCCTGCAGAACGACCCACAGGCTTCTACCGTCCACCGTAGATCTGCATAGAGAAGTAGGCAAACAAACAAACAAACAAACAAAATCCTTATGAGACCATAATTTCATATCACAAAAGAGCAAAGCAGACAAGCAGACCTGTGCCCTGGGCAGGAGCTACAAGTCAAAACATACTCAGTATTTTTCTGTATCTCAAAATAAATTGCAAAATTCATGCATAATCAAAATCAAAAATTTAACTCTTTTTTTTCTGAGCCATAGATAGGGTTCATTCATCATTCTTTGATCCGATTCTTTATTTTTCCTCATAGAATAAGTGAAGAGCCTTTGAAAATAATGCCACTTCATTTTACAGAAATGACAGAGTGCGTTTAGTCTCTCATAAACAGAAGCAGAAGAATAAAATCTTATTAGAATTGTGTGTAATCCAAGGAGAAACCAATAACAGGTACAATTCTTGCTTTCACCTGTTTGTATGGTTGCTCTTTCTTTCCTAGCCCTTGCTCTATCGTAAAGAGCAGAACACAAGGATGGGAGTATTTGTTTTAGTATCAGGAAAGTCACACAGAATAAGCCGTAGGACCACATGATTCATAATGTTGATACTGAAAGCACAGTTTTGAGCAATCTTACTGAAAATTATATCAATCCCAGTTTGGTCCACCCAAGTCTTTATCATCATGTTCCCTTTTTTTAAATATTTATTTATTTTATTATTATGTATACAACATTCTGTCTGTATGTATGTATGCCTGCAGGCCAGAAGAGGGCACCAGACCTCATTACAGATGGTTGTGAGCCACCATGTGGTTGCTGGGAATTGAACTCAGGACCTTTGGAAGAGCAGGCAATGCTCTTAACCACTGAGCCATCTCGCCAGCCCCATCATGTTCCCTTTAACAATCTAAGACTTTCTGCTTCAATCTTAACCAAAGCTTCAGGACTATTCTCCATTTCTTCCTAACTCCACTCTTGAAAAGCTTAGCCGACTTATAGCTAATCTATACGCACTTTGTGATTCTATTTCAGATCATTGCACTTATATTTTAAGGATATTGTTTTATGTGATTATCAAAAAACAAAACAAAAAAAAAGCAAAATCAAGCAAACAAACAAAAACTTCAGTGCTTTTTATTAGAACAGAAACCAAATTCCCTACAAGATTTTCTTCTAAAGAACCAAAAGGTTCCTGGCTTGTTTTTTTTTTTTTCATATCAGGAGAGAGTCTGCAAGTCCAGGCTACCCATATTTTCCATGTCTGATATCACCTCAGAAGCCTTCCTTTGATGCCTTATTAGGGTTCATCAATTTATTTTTTATTCCATTAATATCAGTATTAATCTGTTGTAGATTACAGCCCTGAAAATGTGAATGGATATCTGTCAGAGATTTCAGCTCTGATGATAGGAGTGTTTACCTCTCATTGATTATGTATTTCTGTACAAATTTCAATTTTATATTAGATAATACAGTTCTTAAGTCTTAGGTTAATTAATATTCACTTTTATTTACTGTCTCTAAACACAAAAACATGCTCAATAGAAATGCTTCATAATACATATTCATTGTGAGAATTCCATGGAATATATGTCTATATTTTCATGACTTTTTTCAAACCCTCACACTTATATTCCCAGAGACGAGACTCCACACGTATTATGTTTACTAATGTGAGTCACATCTTGTACCATATCCTGTATAGAGTTGGCCTGCAAGGACTTTTTAGCAAATGAGCAGAAAAATTGATCACTGGCAAAATAGTCACAAATATAGGCTTCAAATTTTTCAAGAGTTTCTGGATATAAGATCCAAAGTAACAAAAAACTGATAAAAATTTGGCATCATGGAGAGTATATTTTTATGATTCGGCTCTGTTATTTGAACTTTAGCTTGTGAGTCTATGTATCTGATGTACTCTCAATTTACTTGACACTGACAAGCATTTTAATAAAAAGAAAATATGAAATTCGATTCAATTAATTGTTATTGCTGCATAACAAATAGCCATGTGTTTCATAGATTAGCCACAAATCTGTGATCTGAAAGCTTCAATGATTTGCTGGGATTGGCTGGTGGGTCATTTTAGTAAGGATTCACAAGGATATGATGAGGATGTGGACTTCAGTTGGGGCTTCTTGTCTTAGTCTTGGATTCACCCTATAAAGTTCATGATGCTAGAGACCGGATTTACTTTCTTGATGAATCAGTTGCTTCTTTCTTTCTTCCTTCCTTTCTTTCTTTCTTTCTTTCTTTCTTTCTTTCTTTCTTTCTTTCTTTCTTTCTTCCTTTCTTTCTCTCTTTCTCTCTTTCTCTCTTTCTCTCTTTCTATCTTTCTCTTTTTTTGACGATTTGAGTACCTGATACCACTCCAGACCCTTTCCTTCAGGAATCTTATGTAAATGGCTTACTTGCTTGGGCCAAACCCATCATGTATAATCTCGTTTTGGATTCGTTTCCTTACTATCCTTTGAGGCTAGTTCATTAATCACAAGTGAAAAAAACAGTCCTGCATTTTCATATTATGTGATCTAATAAAAGGGTGACCACATAACTTGTCCACAGTTCTTGGCCCCATTCAAAGATAGAAGACTACAAAAGAAAATTTTTAAGGGTCACTTTGGTATCTGCTTACCATAGGTATATCATATGGACAAGTAATGTTAAGTATTTGTTTTAATGTTGTGTAGGATATATTTAAATTCATGTCTGTGTGTAAATTTGCTTTGAATCCAAAATATGTTTTTCACTTTGAGGTGTACTAAAAATTTATCTGAGTGTTCCTGACTCATGGACTCATTTCTAGTACACATTAGGAAATGCTCAGTCTAATCATGGACACTGCTAAGCCATTTTAGAAAATAATCCTCCAAAATTCAATACCAGAAACAGCAATATTTGAAATTTTTCACCCAATCAGTAAACGATAATTCTATTTCCGCTGTATGCAAGGCTTGGCATTAAACATCAAACAACAAAGGCTACTGATTCCCTATAGAGCAAGCCATTGTCAGAGAAGATGTGGGAAACTTGGATAAATCGGAGTAATACCAGGTGGAAAGAGAGAGAAACTGAAGAAATTTCCAAAAGGAAAACAGAGTCTAAAACTTTAAGATACTTTTGTATTAATATATTTGATAAAAGACCACATTTTCTTCCCAGTTATCTAAAATGTAACCTCATATTGAATAAGAGGAGAAATAAGACAAGTAATTAGAGAGAAAAAGAAAGAAAAAGATTAAAGATGAATTTATAAAGAATCCAGTGTCTGGAATATTCTTCTCACACAATTAAAAGAAATGAATTCACTCTACCAAGTAATTAAAATAGAAACATTAAAGAATTTTCAAATATCTTATGCTTTATGTCATTTTATTATTTGCCTCAAGAGACTTCAAGTCTTTGGACATGGACTGCCACCCACTCACATTGCTGTCAGCAAGGCTTGAGAGCTCCTGCATGTGCTGAGTTGGCAACTGGTTTGGAACAAGCTGTGAACACCCCCGTAATCAAGCACAAATCCATCTTTCATCTGTCACTGCCACCAAGCAGAGGCCAGTGGCCATGAGGAGATCATACATATTATCCTTTGATTGTTGTTTGGACCTGCAGACTCCCTAAATTGCTCGTAAGTGGATGTAAATTCCCCTAACCCAGAGAGTATTTTGATCAGTCATTTTCATTGTGATTCGTTAAACCATTCTTAATGTGCTGGAATTACATTATACTTCAGAGTTTTGGTTGAAATGTTAATGCTTTAGGTGTCCTCTTTTAATGTTCTCAATATCATCTATGGCTCTCTTGTCTTTAACATCAAGGCATTGCTTACAAAGAAATATTTATTCTTAGCACCTTGAGACTTGCAGTTTCCACATGAGCTCACCTTTAGGGTTCATACTCAGTAATAACTTCCTCAGACATTAGAACAGGATAGATTCAGTTTAATAACCATTTTTAGAGCTGGCTATCTTCATTTGCCATCAATGGTCGTTATTGCCTGGAAATTTCCAGCATCATCTTTGCTTTCCATGATCCACTGACATTTCACTCAGCACATTGATAATATTTTTCTTTAAAAGAGCTCAAAGAATTTAATGAATTTGTCTCCATTTTTATTTTATTAATATGGTTGATTAGATTTATGGATTTGTAGATTCATAATTTGGACTCATGAAAGATTTGTTCCCGTTGAGATAGAAAACCCATGAGATTAATTAAACTCTCTATCTTTACTGTTCCACCTCTATTAAGAGAAACAAGCCTGGAATATAAAACAATAGAAGGAATTACTGTTCATACTAATTGATTGTTTTTCGGCAATGATGTACACTGTTTAATTATCCAAAATTATGTTAAAATCCATAATCTTACATAAAATATAAAAGGATGTATGGTAAACGTCCAAAAATACATCCTAGGGTAATCTAAATATTGAATATGCCACTGAGTCTTCTAGGATACCTGTGCTGACAACCTTGAAGTTCTTGCTTGATACAAAGCTTTTGTCTCCTGCTCATGAGTTCTGTAAAGATGACTAAAAATAAATTGCTTACTTGTTTCTTTTTGACAGATTTGATTCTCTATTTGTGCACCCTTTCTTAGTGATATTACAGCTATTTCCACTTCTCTGTTTATTAACAGAAAGGGAGTTCAAGGGACAATGTCCTTCAGATAATTCAAAATACATGCTAGAGTTGCAAAAGTTCAGCCTCAAATGAATAACCAGCACTTAGTGCACAGTGATATTCAATTGAAATGTTTAGTAGTATAGATTATTGGTTCCAGGGGTTATACCTTGGCCAGTAATGAGTGCAAAACTGACATATGACTGATGTTATTGTTTGCAAATTATTGTACTGCCAGTGAAGGTAACTATTAAAGACAATCAAATCCAGCCCAGCTGTGTATTGAAATCATTACTCTCTGCAAATATCTTGAGATTTATTCAAAAGCGTTTGCATTATGGAGGGCTAACGAATTTGAGGAACTCCCTAACTAAAATTCAAGGAGGTTGTGACCTAAGAGGTTGTGTGAAATGATAAGCTTCTGTTGTCACCGTGGCATTGCCTAGAAGGACACAGACTTGGCTGTTCCAAGGTTAGCTTGATAGGATTAAAGCGATGGTTGGATTTACATGACTTTTAAAGAACTTGTGTATTGTTTCCTTTGTCAAGTAAAATATTGACTGCCTTCAGACTGATTTGATGGTGAAAATATTCATTTCTAAGGTATGACAAAATTCTGAGAAAAACATTTGCCCTTTTGATCGTTTCTATTCTTCAAAAATTTTTAAGAGCAGGTTCTATTTGGCTAGACTTAAGTTCCATCTACTTTTGGGCTTCTAGTGTGTGGGGGATGCTTCCCGTTACAATGACTCCACTTCCTGGCCTCTCTTTCCTCTTCCAGACACTACCTTCAATAAACAACTTACCAAGAGTGGTGATAGGTGACTTGAACAATGATCTCAAATTTTCACATGTCCATTACTGGTATAATTGAGCTCTTTGCAAGTGTTCATCAAGGCTGAGTAGGTTGACTCATCAAAACAGTAGATAAATAAACAAATTCTCGTGCCAGCATTTCCTGAGAAGGATTAATGGCATATTTAAATTTTCAGCTTTCCGGCCGTGCTCTTTCATTGTTTCTTATCCCACCACAGTGCTGAGTTTGTGTTTAAATGTTTCATTTTGTGCATTTCAAACTGTCAGGCTGAAGAAATACCAATAAGTGTGTTAGGTTTAGATAATCGAAAATTCCCTTTACTCAGCTTCTTCGTCTATATTTATCTGTCTGACTGTGAAATCTATTCCAAGAGTATTCATCTACCACCCAAATCTATTCACTGAGCATCAAGACTCATCAGTGAGATGGAATAATGCCATTTAATTAGTCTTTGATATACAGCTTAATTAGGTCTTAATAAGGGGTAGTGCATCCTAAAATCAATTATCTTGCTCTTTTTAATAAGAGCAACTAATTAGTAGGAAAATCACCACAGTTCTCTTTTTATCCTGAAGCTTTCCATGGTGTGAAGAAGGTTATGAAAAAGAAAAAGAAAATATTCTCCAAAATATTTGGAAGAAATGTCAAATGGAACCTAAAAGGATATATTCAAAATAGTTGCAATAGGTTAGAAATATTGGAGAGAAAATGCAACACTACCAATTCTGTGTCTTTGAATAGTTCATAGTTTTTAGTTGGTGCAATAGGGAAAAGTCAAGCTTCCATTTCTGTGTAGCTCTTATTTGTGCTCACACAAAATGTCTTAGACTTAGGTTCCTTGTGGCTACTTCTACAGTGCTCAGAGGGTCACATGTATTACCCATGTTAATGGGTACATGATCTTCTCTCAATAAAGGACACCATAAATATGAATGCAATTCCTACATTCTGAACACACATTCCAGAACTCAGTAGTTTTTATTTAAGTCTCTGTGCTCCAACACAATAGATTGCATCTGAGTATGGCATAACTGTATGTACAGGAGAGGGGTGTTCGGACATGTGTTTTTGATGCAAAGATAGATGGGGAAAGGTTCTGAAGATGTGTATTTCGGCTGAGACTGGAGGAGGTGAAGGAAATGATCTTCCAGAATAACAAAAAGAACACCCCTTAGTCAAGGAGAAGATTTACATGTTTGGAAAATAGGAGAATAGCTATATAGGTACTAGCAATGAAGGAGAAGAAGGGTAAGAAACGAGGTCACAGGTAGCTATAAATCTACTATTCAGTATAATGTAGCAAAGAATGTGCTCGTTTTCAAAACTACAGTAAGATGTGTGCCTAAGGCAGTGATGCAATTCATTTAATTTGAAAAATTAAAGGTATCTGTATAAATATTAGCTGTAGAATTCAGGGAGGGGGTGTATAGATTTTTACTGCATAATCATTTCATTTTTTTGTGTGTGTCTGTATGTGTGAAAATAATGAGAACTCAGGATGTAGAAACCATGGGATAAGAATTTCAAGGTCATCCTTGATTATATAGCAAGTTCAGGATGAGTTGGGAATACTTGGGATATAAACTCTATGCTGTGCATGCATGCGTACATGTGTGTGTGATGTATTTAAAGTCATCTGAAGGACATATCCTCTTGAGCTCCTTTTGCAGTGATCATAGAGAAGTGGCGATGACCATAATGTCACCAAGAAAGACTGCACAAATAGAGAGCATAACTCTATCAAAGGAAACTGAGAGAACAATTTACTTTTAGCTGTCTCTACAGAACTCATGTGCAGATGATAAGGGGTATGATTCAAATATTTGAAGGTTTTCAGAATGTGTACTTCAGAATAATATTTATATTTATGTATTATTATATAAAGAATAATAGGGGAAAATTCTCAAAATAGAAGCCATGTGTGCAGGATCTAATGATGGCAGTTTAAATTAGGAGTTGAAAGAGATAAATGTCAAGAGGCGTTTTCCCCTACAAATTAGGAGATTAGAAGAATGTTTTCAAAATTTGAATCAAATTTTGTTGTTCCTCAATATATATATTCTCTCTCTCTCTCTCTCTCTCTCTCTCTCTCTCTCTCTCTCTCTCAACTATTTCATTGAATTTACGAGTAAAACGAAAATTTTTATTTTAGGCCACCCACTGAAATGGTCCCTCTTTGATCAACACAAAGCCGACTGTGAAGCACATTAGCATGAGATTATGTTGTGGAGTAGGAGTGGTCTGAGCAATGAGCTCTGTCTCAGAAATGAAGCAGGCAGCAGGATCTTCTCAGCTATGGGTGACTCATTTTATTTCAGGCATTCTTAAGGACAGAGGAAGGAATGAGGAAGCCGGGTTAGTGCTCAGCTTTGTTCCCACTGGGACAGTTATTCACCTCAGCAGGTGCCGGGCTTCCAGAAAAAATCCTTCAAAGAGTAGATTAATAACAGCTGCTTGATGCTAACTATTTCCTGGGAGCAGATACTTCATAGCAGGGACAACAAATGAGGAACCTGTTTGAAGAGCCTCGTAATGAGGCTCAAGAAGGTAGAGGTCGCGGACTTTGTGCTTGGCCCCAGACACAGCCATGCATAATTGGTACTTAGTAAAAACAACGGTGTGATGATAAGAGCACCTGTACTAGAGAGGGCGAGCACATTTAGAAGTTTCTTTGGCACTACAGGCTCTAAGCCTCCTCTCCCCTATGCTTACCTCAGCAGTATGCAATCAAAAGATGCACTCATTCACTCATGGCTTAAGCATACATTAGACTTGAGCTGAGCAGTCCTTAGCTAAGACCTTCAGTTTTATATATATTATATAAAATATATAAAAATATGTGTAATATGTAAAATATATAATTATATATAAATATATATATAATATAAACATATATTATATGTTATACATGTATATGTCCCTTTAAGATAGTATAGTTGTTTCTCTTAAAGAATTCATTTGCTCTTGCCTAGAAGATTCTACGCCAAAAAAAAAAATGCCTGTGGTTTTGGTTTTAGTTCCTTATTCAGTGTCCAAGTGACTATAATCAAGATGAGCAGCTGCAGACCTGATCCACCTTCCCATACTTGATACCACATCTTTATATTTGGCTTTCTCTTAATAGCCATTGCTACATACCACTGCTATTTAACAAGTCTAACCTGCTCCGTGCTTCATGCTTTGCCCCTTCAACGTGTTAGTCATGCTTCTGTGAAAACAGCCTGATTCTGAAAGTCAGTTCCCCTCGTGGGAGCTGGTAAGTGGTTGCCTTTCTTTGATGGCTAATCCTGGTTCAAATGTTGATCATGACAGTTCAGGTCTCAGTTTAACATGCTCCTGAGCAGTAACTGCCGGGTCGGAAAAGCAATAGGTACAGCCAAACTAACTAGTTTAGGGATGCCACAGAATTGGAGATCAAATGTTTTGGCCTTGTTTATTACAAACCAAATGAGATTTGGGGAGGGTAGTGGAGGAACCCTAGAAGGAAGGTGTAATTGGAGAAGTGGGGAAACTGCTTTACTTCTAAGGAAATGATTGAATTGAACATGGAATGTATACTTTCCGAAGAAACTGGATATTGGACCTATGCCCAAGCCAAGGACTTAGGGGGATTATTTGATGCCGTTTTGAAGTTGGAATATTGTCAAAATGAGAGGTACAGCTAACAAGCTTAGGTTGATTTGGAATGTATCAGCATATATGCTTAAACCATCTCAAAGTTCAGAGCCCAAATACAGAGTTCTGCACATAAGGATTGGTGAATGAATGGGTGAGTAGTAGATGAGGGGATGAATGCAGGAGGGAAAAGAGATCTTGAGGACACAATGAATAAAGATGACTTTTAACCCTACATACCACCATTGGTACATTCTAGAAAGGCAAGTCAGAATTCCTCTTTATTTGTAAGACTATAGGTCTGAGTCAAAGATCTAGAGCCCAAATCTTCAAAATTATCACTTCCAAGGCACCTTGGTGAAATGTTGCATTTGCTTTGTTCAGAAAAATCTAAGGTGCTCCTAACACTAGAAAAAGAAAGGGGAAATAATCAACACAAGGTAGTGGCCTGGAAAAGCATGGTTCTACTGGCAAGCTTTGTGGGGCTCTTTTGTGACTGAGGTCTTAAGGGTTGGCTCTGGCTAAGCCTGTTTCTGTTTCAAGCATCAATAAAGCCCATCTGAGCATTCTCTATTATTTCCTATGATGTGCCAGTTGCCATGGCCGACTAAGCTTTCATACATATTAGCCTGTTTTGCTAGCTGAACACCTCACCTTTTACGTAGAGAAGTTGCAATTAAGAATGTGAACTGTAAAGAAATAAGAAAGAAAAAAGAAAAAAGAAAAAAAAAGAATGTTAACTGAGCCGCAAGCTTTCAGATTTGAACTCCTTTCTTCTTTAACCTTTTTCTCTTTCTTTCTTTTTTTTCTTTCTTCCCTTCTTTTTTTAAACTCATGACCTTGAAAAAAGAAGTTAAATTTTCCAGTCTCAGTTTCTTCAAGAACAGAACTAGGGGGGAAAAGGGTTTCCAGAAACCTCGTTAGAATAATGTTTGACAACAGTAAGTCCTCAGATGGGTAAATTCTTATTTTAAGATTTTTAAAGAATGATTTAACATTCTTTATGTTATTGTATCCTAAGGTAAGCAACTTGTTAAGGATTTAGATACGGTGACCCCTTTTCTAATTTTTTGGTAAAAGTTTTGATTTCCCTTCTGATTATCTTCCTTTATAAATTATACTCTTTTAATATTTTTTTCAGTACTCAGATGTAAACCTTGAAAATTAATACATAACAATAGTATTCTCACTAAAAACTTCCCTTCCCACCCCCATATCATGTGATTATAGTTAACTACACGGACATTGTATTTCCCTGCAATTCAGCAAGCTAGCACACTTCAATGGCATCATGGTCAAGGAACTTTGCCATTGTGACTAATAATTATACAATTTTAGGTGTCCATCTGAACCTTTGTGTGTTCCCAAATACAATATGATTTCATGCAAGACTAAACTAATGTTGACTGCAACGATTATGAAAAACATAAGAATGTCCCTTCTGTGGTTTAATTAACTTCCTTATAGACATACGTGAGGGTTGGAAGCAAAGGCAAGCATTTCTGCCTATGGCTTGCTTCCACATAGCTCATGGAGCCATTTATGGCTTCTTTTGCTATTCTCTTTAATTGATTCCTTATTCAGTGAATAGAACCAAGATACAATTAACCTTGCGAATCGTTCTTTAGGGGGGACATATTTAGATTTGATTGGGTCTCCGTTGGGTCACTCTCATTGACCTGAAGGTCAACAAAAGAGCATGCTGGCTGCTTTTGGGTAAGTAATATTGAATTAAATCTCTTCAGAGACTAGTTTAAAGCCTGGGAAAGTCTTCTGGCTTAAACAGTAAGAGATAATTGGAGTGTCTTGTGGTATCAAGTGTTTGAGTGCAAATTAATATTTTGGTGAGATTGCTGGCTGTATGTTTTGAAAGGATTCCCATTGAAAGTCCATTTACTTTACACACGAGCCTCACAGTTATCTACTGAAAACAGTTGCAAGTAACAGTTACAGCACTAATTACTGGATGCCCATTCTTTCATCAAGTGGAAGCCAGGTTATGCACGTCTGACACTTTAAACAAGTATTACATGCATCAGGGTGTTCCAAAAGCTAAATGCCTCTGAAGACATATTTAATTATATTGCTACCCTAGAGTACATCAAATTTGCTCTTGTTTGGGGGTAAGGAGTAGCTTCCTGTGCCTGAAAACTGAATCATGAAATCAAAGGTTGACAAAGCAGACAGGCAGATGACAAGAGAAATCCTTGTGAAGTCTGGGTACTAAGATGGCTGTGAATTGCCCACTTTCAGAATTACGTTATGGAAGGTTTTTAGACGATAAATCCCCCCATTTCCTCCCCCTCTCTTTATGCTCTGAGTTTTTTAATTTGATTAAAGATTTCAGTTTTATAGATGAAAGAGTTTCTTTGGTCATTTTCTTGACCCTAGCATGTATTTTAAATTTCAAATCATTCTTTTCCTCAAGGTAATAGTCTAAGACAAGAAGGACCCTTTCTAAGTTCGTTTGTGTTCTCACATCTTGTATTAAAACCCTGAGGCTTACATTTTTTATGTAGTTTTAAAAGTGGATTTTTTTGATCCTCAGTTATAGGCATATGACCTATGACCGTATTAAATGCTTTAGAGATGCTAAGACATTAAAAAGTCCCAAAGTATTAGGGAAAATAAGGCTGAAATAATGCATGTTTGAATTTATTGTCTGTATCTTTGTGTACCATCTCCCTTGGTTTCATCAAGTATCATCATGGTTTTCTGACATTTCAAAATAATGCTTGACAGCTTTCTTTTACAGGAGTTTTGAGAGTGGACGGTGACAACTGAGATGTCCCAGCCAAGCACAGATAAAGTTAGCAGAGCATAGCCAATTTAAGTTCAAAAGCAAAATTACATCAAAGAACTCTTTGCTAGTTAATGCTCTTTTCATGGCCTACCGTGGGTACATGCTCCTATTTTCAATACATCAGAAATCACCACTAAAGGAGCACTTGGATATCTGTAGCCTGTCGGAAAGATCACAAGTGGCCCTTTTCAGTCCCTACCAGACAGAAACATTCTCTACTTCTCTCTTAATATAAAGTGTTTGCATTAAGGATTTTTGTTGTTGTTGTTGTTGTTTAGTTTTGTTTTGTTTTATGGGGTCTTATTCCAGCCCAGGATGACCCAGAACCCATGTTATCAAAATTATACTGATCCTCATACTTCGAACTCTTTCACCTTTAACTGCAGCTTGATACAGCAACTTTTCATGTAGAACTCCTTTCTTGTCTATCTCCCACCAAGTCACAAATAAGATCAACATTTTCTTTGTGATGTAACAATCTAGAATGGGACCACATACTATTAAATAAAGTTAAGATTCTTCAGGATGGTTTCCAGGTCCTTCTGAATTAGTTACCTCTGCCCCTCTAGTTCCTGATTCAGTTACTTTTTCAAATGGACTCTATGTGATTAGCTTTAAAGTGCCATAATCTTTCCCATGTCTTGTCCTTTTTGAAAGCTGTGTCCTCTGCCTATTTCCTGTTGGTTTAAATGCTGTTTTAAAATATAGCAATGAAGAGATATTTTTGCACATTGATTTTCAGGCAACCATTGTACTCCTTGATCAACATTTGTATACAACTGGCACATTAGTGAACAAATATAAATATTTACTGAGAGATACGGCGAGCACATCTAACATATTACATGTATGATAATATAGATGGATCTTGACAACATTGTATAAATGAAAGAGCCAGTCAGAATAAGACAACTGCTAAGTTATGCTATTCATATGGAAAGAATACAATATCAATTTGTGTTGATAGAAAATGGTGGTACCGATAGTCCATGGATAGGATGAGGCATAGAGTGGTCAAAAATAACAACTTCCTATTGCAGAGGTGAAAACAATGAAGATGACTGGTCATATTGTCAATATGGTTATTTACTACTAATGAACTGTGTACTTAATATGGTTAAAAGAATCAAGTCTGTATACCTGTCACAATTTGAGGAAGTGTTTGTATTATTCTAATTTACTCACTCCTTACTTTACTAGCAGAATTTTACTACCTCAAAGAATATACTGATAAGAAGTTTCTCCTTTTCTTTAGTCTTAATTTGCCTAAAATAGTGTGAAAAAAAATCATCAACACTTTGCCATACTATATTTCAAACTTGTCTATTTTAAAATCCATTTTAAAGGGAAAAATAAAAATGGTTCAGAGTTTCCCCACAAGTTTGCCTTGTTTTTTTGCTATGGAAGTGCTTATAGAAATACAGCATCAGCTAGCAAATTTCTTATGACTAACTCTTGGCTAATTAAGGTTGAAATGAGTCTGCACCCCTACAATTCAGAGTTTCTTTGCTTTTGGGAAGTATTCCCATGGCATATCAGGAATGGTTGTCACCTGAACTTGGAAGAAATATGTCATGCATGTTTTAAATCTACCCTGTGTAATTTTCTCATCTATCCACAATAAAAATAAATATGGCATGTCTAATATAAATACAAGCTAGAATTTCAATAATACTATAGTATGTAGCTATACATACTCAAATGAATGACTTCAAATATGCCTAAATTTCATTAGGTTATCCTACAATTACAATTAAAACACAGTGTCAAAATGCTTTCAAAAAGATCCACCAGAATACAAGCCAAGGAAACAGAGTTGTAATACAGCACAAGAAGAGGTAGAAAAGATAGCAATGCAAGGTTATACTAGGATAGAAGATTGTCCCATACAAGATAATACAATGAAGTGAATTCTGAAATGATAGTGGAATATATGGCAGTTTCCAGAGCACTAAAAGGAATCAGTGAAGACCGTAGAGTGAAATGACAATGAGCATTCAAACTAGATGTTATTAGCTAGGAATGAAAGACTAGTGGGATAAATGTGGGATGAATGTTTGCGTGTTACCCATAAAGGAAATGGCAGAGGACACAGTTTTCAAAAGGACAAGGCTTGAAAAAAGATTAAGGTCTTTTAAAGCTAGTCACATTAGTCCTTTAAACAAGTAACTAGGGCAGGAATTACAGAGGCAGAGGGGACCAATTTTGAAGGACCTGAAGTGCAGATTTGGGACACTAGGAAATTTTAAGATACCCATACTGTGCTTTTATCCCAATGAGTATGACCCACACATAGTTCAAGAAATGAGGTTAGAAGATCTTAAGTAGATAAAAGTGGAGACATTGAAATTTAGTTACGGGTAATAATAAACAGATTCAACTTGCACCATACGCTGAAAGAACAGCTAAGGAAAAAAGACACCCCTTCACTTTTAGTGTGATACTGTATCACATAGAAGCTGAAGCTGTGATTAAAAATCTGTTAGACATAAAGCAAAGAAAAACAGCCTACAATTCACAACCCCAGACAACCTAGACAACAAAAACAACCTTAAGAGATACATGCATGGATTTAATCTACATGGGAATTAGAAAAAGACAAGATCTCCTGAGTAAATTGGGAGAGTGGGGATCATGAGAAAGGGTAGAAGGAAAGGGTGGATATTTCTATTCTACTTCAATGCATCGATTCAAAGTCCGAGTTTGTAGGTTCTTCTCACAGAGTGTGTTTCTCTTTTCTTTTAACGGATGAGTCAAGAGGTAGCCTATGCCCCATTTCATTACTTCCTACTCGCTGGACCGATCACCCTAAAAGTTATCCTAGAAACCTTGCTATTTCATATTTCCTTTCTTAATTTTCCTTGATTCTCTATTTGTAGAATTCCTGCACTCCGGTCCGAACTCCCTGTAAAAATTTGTTCCACTTAATTTCGAGCTGTCAACAGACCATGGTCATACCTTCTCTTTGGATCTTATCTTGTCTACTTCTCAATTAAACCTTCCCAAATACACCTCGCCATTAAAACAACATCACTTCTTTGTTATATAATGCACTCATATTCTTACTTTCTCTGACACTCATGTCATATTTTTAATTTTCAAACAAAGGATTAATTGGATGAAGGAAGTGTTATTCAATTTCCGAGGTTCAGTTTCTCTCACAAGAAAGTTGTGAGACTCCGTTACCCAAATATATTTATTTGAGCTATATGATTGATGATGACCTATAAATGTTCAATACTATTATTTTATCTCTGTTCTCTTTCCCCAGGTGCCTCAATCCCCATCTTTAGAAAAATCAAACACAATGCCAAGGTCTTTCTAATCTGGCCACTGCAAACCCTGTAAACCTTTCTTTCCTCCCCGCAGGCTTCAAAATGTAGACTCAAAATATGTAAGGGAAATTCTGTTATCTAAATATGCCATTCTTAGTCATTCCCCTGAGCCTTTTATAAATGTACTTTTTATATGAAATTATTTGCCCTATAAGATGATTAGTTCTCAATCCTACACAGAGAACAGGAATGTGAAGGAAGCTCCCGGAGAGGTGGTCTTTCCCAGGGAAAGCAAATGAATTCAGTGTTTCAAAGCCAGTCAACCCTGAAAACATACATACAAGTAACATTATATGGACTCAACATTATATGGACCTATGTGTAAATAGGTTTAATTTACACAAGTCAATAGATGCTGATTATTCTGATGCTTACAACCAAAAAAAAAACCCCTCTGAGAGATGAGTATTAGATTACTATATATATATATATATGTATATATATACATATATATACATACATACACACACATATACCTATGCAAGTAGCTATATAATTACAATAACAATAGAAAAGAGGCCATGAATCTGAAGGAGACAGGAAGGTGTTATATGGGAGGGTTTGGAGGAAGAAAGGCAAAGAAGAAATAATGCAGTTAAATTACAAAATCAAAAATAAAAAAGTAGGGAAAATGCTATAGATTCTTTGCTTTAAACCAGTTCTCTAGCTAATTCTAATCCAGAGGCTCTCCATCTTCCTAATGTTGTGACCCTTTAATACAGTTCCTGTGGTGATCCACAACCATAAAATTATTTTCATTGTTACTTCATAACTGTAATTTTGCTACTGTTATGAATCATAATGTAAATATTTTTGGAGATAATGTTGCGCCAAACAGGTTGAGAACCACTGTAATCATATATAAATTCTTGAAATCCAGGATACCATTTGAAAGATGTAATCTATATTTTCTGTTATATTTTTATATTTAAATTTTAAAATATTTTGATTATATTCTTCTTCTCCCCCAAGTTGTTCCAGTTGCAGATCATAATCCCCATCCCTTCCTACCCAGTTTTAAGTTCTTTCTCAAAAACCAGACAAGAACAAATACAACGAATTTCGCAAAACCAAGAAAATAGCAAACACTAGCCAAACAAAAGCACGTGTATGCATACGTACACACACACACATGCACATGCACACGCACGTACACACACACACACACACACACACACAGAGATTGGTACCTAGCCTAATAGTCATCAGAAAGTTTTCATTCAGCAATTGGTGGAAACAAATTCACAGACCCATAATCAAACATCAGGTGGATCTCAGGGAATCCTGTGGAAGAAGGAAAGGAAGAGGAATAGGACATCACAAATAAACACAAAGAATCAACTAATCTGGGTTTATAGGAATTCACAGAGACTGAACTAACAACCAAGGAGCCTGCCTGGAGCTGACCTAGGCCCTTTGCATATATGTTATGGTTGTATAGCTTGGCCCTCTTGTGGGACTCCTAACAACGAGAGAAAAGACTGTCTCTGTATTCTTTTACTGGCTTTTGGGACCCTATAACTCTAACTGGGTTACCTTGTCCAGGCTTAATGCAAGGCAAAGTACTTAGTATTGCTGCAACTTGATATGCTACATTTTGCCAATATCCATGGTATACGTGCCCTCCTCTGAAAGGAGAAAGAGTAGACTGTGGGTGGAAAGGGGAAGGGAGGTAGAAAGAGGGGCTGGGAGAAGAGGAGAGAAGAGAAAATGCGGTCAAGATAATTAATAAATAAATAAATAAATAAATAAACATGAAAAAACAAAATTAAAAAAAAAACTGTGGATTCTGTTATATGCTAGCCAACTACTCCAGAACATGAGGACTACCCTAAAGTGGTTGATTTATCCAGTTTTACTCTGATGGAGAAACTGATTTTCCCTCTCTCAGCAGGTTAACTTTCAGAAAGACAGTTAACTTGTAAATTTTACCCTAGTATTCTGCTTTTCCTTCCGTATTTCCTTCCTTCCTTCCATCCTTCCTTCCTTCCTTCCTTCCTTCCTTCCTTAGTAACTTTGTTTTCCTTCCTTCTTGTTTTAAACATAACTTAATAAAATATAATAAGATAAAACAAAAACTTGCA